AAAAAAAAAAAAAAAAGGCGTTTGAAGTAGTGTGATACGTATTCTGTGCCTCAGAATGTGGCACGTGTGGCATGAGAGAGTTTAGAGGCCACGAGGACTGCCCAGACAGCGTGAGAACTGTAAGAGCAGAGAGCTATAGGTGATGCAGCGCTGTTTGTGCCACCCGCAGGAAGCGGTAGCTGGAACAAAATATGGCCAGAAGAGTGATCAGATTGCGTTTGGTAAGGAACTATTTCATTAGTTGTGGAATTCTGACAAAATGTATATTCAGGATGATGATCAGCATGCCAGGTGCTGGGACCATGCCGAAAGAGAAATGGTCTGAAAACGTCGGTGCAATTTGCAATATATCCCCTTCCACAAAGCCCTCAGATCCATGCTGCAACTGCATCCAAAGCAACCCAGAGCCCTGTGCTTGTTGTACCCAGAGCTATCGGTGCCAGGAGTTGCTGCTGTGTTTGCAAGGACGTTGTGTCAGCAGTGTGCCATCAGTGGGGTTGTTTGATGGCAATGAAACAGCTGAATGGTGTACCTCAAGACTAAGAAAAAAGACGGTAGTCGAGACTGTGTTTCTAGGTATACATAGCTTGATAGAGATCTATAGGACTCCAGTGTGGATTGTACATAGGCCCTGCGCTGCAAGGTACGCTGTTGGGAAGCAATGTCCATCTGCCCGAGGGCAGGAAGGCCCTGCAGAGGGACGGCCTGAGGCCAGTCGTACCAGGCTGCACAGCTGAGGCCAGTCGTACGAGGCTGCACAGGAGCAAGCGCTGGGTCCTGCGCTGTGGTCATGACAACCGCATGGCAGCTTCTGCAGGATTGGGCTGAGGTAGAATTCCAACCGCCCGCTGATTCTAGAATGTTGGGTGCCGTGTTGGAATCTTCTGGTCCTGTGACATGGTCTTGCCTCCCCACCCTGTTGTCATGGCGGAGCAGCCTGGTGGCCCTTAGTGATGTCACAAGCGGCTGGAATGAGGGGAGGAGCAGTGCGTGCTGCGTCCCTTCATTGGAGCGCTTGAGCTCTGCGTGAGTAGCTCGCTTGTTGCCCTTGTGCAGCGACTGAGTGCCTTCGTTTTCACCCCTTGTGTCTTGCGCAGCATCTTGTAGGTAAGCTGAGACAGGGCGTGAGATACAGGGGTGGGCAGTGAGGTGTTGAGAGCTGCTGGCTGGTGGAGCTCCTAGCAGCTCATACTGCTTACTCTTGTCCATCAGACGTAACTTTCAGCCAGTACCTGCATTCCCAAGCGATCCACAAAGATGGCATTTGTCCCATGGTTTTTCCCTTGTCATCTTTGCTACATTATGCAAGCTCACAGACCTGTTCCTTCTCTCTCCTCTACCCGCTCCCTTGGTGCAGCTTTCGCTCGTGGAAGAACAGAGCAAAGTGACAAGAAACAGCTGCGAGTTCAAGGAATTGTCTACCTTGTTCTGATCTCCTGCCAGGTACGTGCCACGCTTTGTCCCCCCACGTTTTTGACCAGCACTGTGTCACACCATGTTTGGTAACACAGCCTCACTCAGCTTTGATGGGACACTGGTCCCGTGTGGGTTTTTTCCCTTCCCCTGCAGCTCCGTCCTCAGAAGGATGCTGTGTGTGGTGCTGTGACCAGCTGGTCTGAAGGAAACCGATCCCTTAGGCAAAGAGTCCTAGGCCCAGTTTGTGCCGAGCTGCACAGCGTGACCCAAGGTCACAAGCACGCACGCTTGGGCTGTGTGAGTGTGCGCGGCAGCTGTAGGGAGCACAGCAGAGATGCAATCAAGGAAATGTCCTTGATGTGCGGGGCTGCAGCAGGTGCCGGTGGTGAGGCTGCTGGGAGCCGTGGCCGGGGAGCAGATGCACCTGCAGCAATGATTGCTCTCACTGCCCTGCTGCTGCGCTGTCAGAGCGCCCTGGGCGAATGCATCTGCTGCTTTGTGCCAGTCCCCATCTGCTAGCAGAGGGACAGCTGCTTGGTCAAATGCTGCCTAATGGGCTGTCCCATTTGAACGGAGTGAACAGAGTGGTTGCTTCTAGAGCACCTACCTGCCTGTGCCAGAGGATAGCCAAGGGTAGTTCTCCGGTAGTCTCTCAATACTGTGGTATGTGAAGAGAGAAAATATGAGCGTGTTTCTCTTCAGTTCCAGCTTGTCGTGCCTGCTGTGATGGGCGTCGCGTGCAGCGAGATCAGCTGTGGGCCTGACATGACACGGATGGAGGTAGAGTACGGAGCTCTGATTGGTCTTTGTTCCCTGATTTGAGCCAGCAGAGTGAGCCGCAGATGTGCTCTCCTGCTTTTCAAGAGAGAGCGAATCCTTGCGGCTCTATCAGTGTCACTGAAAAGCTGCCTTAAAGGCTTTCTTTCCTTGCTGCGGGCATGTTCTTAGCCTTGCCGTTCCTTCTTGTGTGCCCATGATAAGGACCGAGTGCATTTCCTGCAGCTTTCTCTGCTGACGTGCTCCTCAGCCTGAAATCCTCCTCGTTTGCCCTCAGCTCCTCACCATGGCCTGTGCTCTCTGTTTCAGGCTGAGAACAACGGGAAGCCCCTGCTGGTCCGTGAGGAGTCATCTCTTAATATCCCAGCTATTGCTGCTGCCCACGTTATTAAGAGATACGTTGCCCAGGCACCGGGTGAACTCTCCTTGGAGGTAAGCAGTTAAGGGCGTTCCTTGTTGTCCTGTACAGAAGAGTATAACATGTGAAGCTATCAGGAATATTCTCAGACACCTTCAGAATGTTTGGTGAGGTGAAGGCCAGCAGATGCGGTTCCAGATTAGACTTGCACTGGGTTGGATGCAGGGAGGAGTTCAGCCATCTCTAAACTATGGCTCTATTTGGCATTGGAATCTTGTGATCAAAGAGCTACTGCCCAGTGTGGTAGCCTGGTCTCTGAGCAATGGCAGAGCAGTGTATGGAGTGTGCAGATCTGCTCAGGATCTGTTCCGCTGACTTATGCCTGCGGTTTAATTGGAGCTCTCCCTTTGGCAAAGAGCCTGCTGCTTTTGAGAACCATTTCCTACTGAACAGCTGAATTCTGTATGTTGTGTATTGTAGTGACTCTTCTACCTCCACGTTCGGTTGTACCACTGCAAATGCCTGAAGAGCTGCACTGGTGCAATGGCTCTCAAGCTTGACGATATTGGGCAGCGCAGAAGAATGCAGTCATTTGAGCTGCGCTTTCCTCCCAGCCGTGCTGAAGCTGGGATTGACGTTGCAATCTCTTGCAGGTGGGAGACCTCGTGTGCGTCATCGATATGCCGCCTCAGGAGCTGAGCCCCCGCTGGAGAGGCAAGCACGGCTTTCAGGTAGGCACAAGCTTCAGACGTGAGAGCGCAGCTTTGGTCGAGGCAGGAATCTCAGCTTAGAGCTGCCCTGCCTGCACAGCATGGCTCCACATGGAAAATAGTTTCCTTGTGCTGGTGTCAGAGGACTTTGCCTTTTGCTGTGGGCTTAGGCCAGAGCTGAAAGTTGGTCTTTGTAGGAAACTGCCTCCTCAATTAACTTAGAAAGAAGAGCCCTCACAACATGCATCAGGTCACGGCCACTGAACCGCACCTTTGGAAATGCAGCAGCTAGGAGACGTGTTTCAGTGTCTCTGAGCTCTTGTGCTTGCAGCCATGCAGAAGGTGAAGTCAGTGTCTTTTAGGAAGTCGCTGCCTGTCAGCTGAGATGAGGCAGGGTAACAGAGCCTCTGTGTGCTTGCTGCTGCTGCTGGCTGCAGAACGCTGGGTAGCTCAGAGCTGGGGATGGCAGCTGCATCTCAGTCAGCAAGCAGAAAGTTCATAGGCTGTGCAAACTCAGATCTAGCTGCATCAATCTATCATAATATATATCTTCTGTATGAAGTCTTTCCCTTTGGGCACACTTGATATTTAGGGGTGCATAGCATACTTGTCCTTTCCCCACTCCATACACAGTTTTATGGATATTTGCCTGCCAATTTGGAATAATTATTAATTTTAAGCAGGCCATTTTTTTTGTTGGATTGTCTTACGGAGCATCCGGCAGGCACGTTATGAGGAAAATGTGATGTTTGAACAGTTCAGGCCTGAGAAACGCTGCCTTCAGTATCACACCTGTCTTCTTCTTGTTACAGGTTGGATTTTTCCCTGGGGAGTGTGTGGAGCTCATTAACGGAAAAATCCCGGGGTCTCTCATCAATTCAGTGCCAAAGCCAGGTACGGATGATACATTTGGTGGTGCAGGGAAGCAAAATGGAGTCTTTTTTGGGTGTGTTGCGTGTTTAATACCTCCCTTATCCTTCCCACGTTATCCTCTGTGCTGATGATCCTTCATGCGTAGCACGGGGCGTATGGCTGGTGTTTTGTAGGCAGTGAGAATGAGGGAAGGCAAAGG